TGGGCTCCTGCTCCCACAGCACTGCCCGTGGTGGGCTCAGTGCTGTCGGGTTTGTGGCCAGGACTGATGTTCCTGAGCAGCTTTTATCCCTTGGGATCACTTCCAGGTGCACCCTGAGCATCCAGTGCTGCTCTGGCACTTTGCTCCCTGGGCTCCTTTGGTCATAGTTTGGGCAAGGTGTGACCTGGGACAGGGTGCTCAGCTTCTCCTTTTGTGCCTGGAGCTCGCCCAGCTCTCCAAGTTTCTCGGTGTGAAGGCGAGATGCTGCTCAGGACATGGGGAATGCAGTGGGGATCAGTTGGATTTTGGAGGTTTTAAAGGAAAAAGGAGGTTTCCTGGCTGACCACAACTCCCAGAGGCTCTGGAGCAATATCCACCTCTCCTGTGCAGCTCTGGGCACCCTCAGTGGCACAAGGGCCTGGAGCTGAGGGAAATGCTGTACCTGTGCAGGAGGAGCTGCATTTTGGAGGGGATGGGTGGGGGAGCAGGGACCCAGCACCACCCCCCGGGTTTGGGGATGGCTGAGTCAGGGCTGGGATTTGGGATGATCTTTGTGCTGTGCAGAGCTGGGGTTTATTTTTAGTCCCTTCTGTGGTGCTGATTGCCATGGCAATGCCACGGCACCGCCGGCGCTCCCAGGGATGGGCTGGTGGTGCTGCTCCAGGACCAGGGGACAGGGCTCCTGGCAATGGTTTTGGGGGAGAGTGGCAGCTCAGTGTCCCCTGTCTGGTCCATGATTTAGATTCAGCTCACAGCCAGAGCAGGGGCTCGCTGTCTGCCCCAACTAGGCTCCCCACCTCTGGAAGACACAATCCTCCAGGCACAGGAGCCTGTCCAGGAACTGCATCCTGGGAGCATTAACTGCTCAGCACCTGGTCAGCTAATGCAGCTCAGCCTTTTGGTCTGAAATTCGTGCAGAAAAGCAGAGAACAGGGTGGGTGCTCCTGCACCTTCTCATGCTGTTTGAGAAGGGTCAGGGATCATCAGGCTCCAGGGCTGGGGCTGTGTCCCAGGGCAGAGCTGGGACAGCCTCCCTCAGCCCCTGCCCAGCACAGCCACGTGCCTCCAGAGAGGTCTCAGTGTCTGGATTCCCCTTGCCCTTGGAAAACGTTCCCCTTCCTAATCACGGGGTGCTTGGTCACCAGTTGGTGCAACCCAGAGCAAACCCAGCGGAGCAGCTCGTCAGTGACCTCACTGACCCCAGCAAAGAGGAAAAAAAGAGTTAATTAACATACCCAGGAATTTTTCTCTTCACTTGGGTGTGCTGGGACTGGCCTTTGGCCCCAGTCACATCTAGAAATTATTGGAGCCGATCAAAGGCTGGAGAGAGCCACTTCCATCAGTTCTAATTTCAGCAGATTGACTCTCTCAAGCTGCCAGTGACCCGCTGCCCCCGAGCTCCCACATCCCTCACGCCCTTCAGGGAGGCAGCTGGGAGCTCTCTGCACTTGGGATTTGGGTTAACAGGTGGGCTCAATGATCTTACAGGTCTTTTCCAACCTGGACACTTCCATGATTCCACGCTGTGGGACGGAATCATGGGGTCAGGTTTGCTGGGGATACCTGGGCACAAAGCCAGTGGCTGCTGGCTGAGCAGCAGTTCATAAGTCACCGCATTTAAGCACTGTCGGAGCAGGGTGAACCACTTAGGCCCAATTAAGTGCCTTAATGAAGCTTTCCCTGATGGGGTTTCAATTACGTGGAGCAGAGAGTGTGGAGCAGCAGAGCTGTGAGCCTCCCGGCTAATTGGATGAGGATTTGGGAATGACTGTGCTCCTGTGGGACCAAACATGTATGTTTGCTTAGGTATCACTTAGAGAAGCTTTCCAAATAATCTGGACCTCTGCAAGGTGATGTTTGTCTGTTTAAATCTCTCTAACCAGGTTGGTGACTGCTGCTCTTTGCCTGGCTGGGATGAACCGTGTCTGTGTGTGCAGAGGTCTGGGGTGTGCAGGTACAGAGCTGAGAGAATGTGGGGAACAGATACTGAGAGGCTACTGTGGAATCTGAAGAGCTGGGGTGGGTTTTGAGATCAGTTTGAAAGAGGATGAACTGTAAATGTGTCTCAGAATTACCGGAGAATTGCTGGATCAGACTGTGCATCCTGCGTTCCTTTAATCTGGAATGAAGGTGATCACCTGGAGAAGAGAAGGCTCCAGGGAGACCTGAGAGCTCCTTCCAGGGCCTGAAGGGGCTCCAGGAGAGCTGGAGAGGGACTTGGGACAAGGCATGGAGGGACAGGACAAGGGGGAATGGCTTCCCACTGCCAGAGGGCAGGGCTAGATGGGATATTGGGAAGGAATTGCTGTCTGTGAGGGTGAGGAGGCCCTGGCCCAGGTTACCCAGAGAAGCTGTGGCTGCCCCTGGATCCCTGGAAGTGTCCAAGGCCAGGTTGGACAGGGCTTGGAGCACCCTGGGACAGTGGAAGGTGTCCCAGCCCATGGCAGGGGGTGGGACTGGATGGGCTTTAGGGCCCCTCCCAACCCAAAGCATTCTATCAAACTAAATTTGTGGTGAAGATAATCAGGATGGACCTTCCACATGTAACACTGTGGGGTTCTGTTGGGGTTTTGTTGGCCAGCATGGAGGTGTCACTGGAATGGCACATAATGATGGAAAACTGCTCATGAGATTTTAAAACCAGGTTAAAAATGGGCCCTGTGTGCAGTGCATTAACTCCCCGAGGTGACCTCCTGCTTTCCTGAGCAGAAAACATCTGCTGCAGGGTTTTTAGAAGCACTCCTCTTATTTACATCTGAAAAACAGGAGGTCTGACTAAAAGAGTGCCTGAGCCAGAGTATTAATCCTGAGCTCTCATCCTGGGGGATTCTGTGCTGGGTGTTACTGGAATGTTTTGCTCTAAAAGCAGTGGCACAAACAGTGTTGTGGGGGTTTTAATGCTGTCCTGTCCCTCTGCACCCCTGGGTGTTGCTGTACCCTGGGCTTTACCCTGGGCAGAGGGAGATTAACCCACAAGGAGGGTCTGGGGGGGCCACACCAGGCTGGGGACCCCCAGGACCTGCCGTGCTGGTGTGGGCACAGGGAGACTCCTTGGCAGGAGATGATTTCCATATCGTGTGCCCAACTCTAGGGACCACGGCTGGAATGAAAATCAGATTTTAGGAAGCGTTTTAAGAAGAGCCAGAGAATTTTTTCAAAGCCTGGCATAATTTATTAATAAATAGAAGTTCTGTCATATTGTATAATTAATGTAATAATCAGTTATAACTCGTAGTAACTCTGGCACTGACACTGTTCCGGGTGGGATGTTGGTCAGTCGGTTCCGAAGCAGGAGGGGGTTCTGGCAGGGGGAGGTTCTCGTGGGGCAGAGGGTTTGTCCCCCCCAGGAGATGCCCCACAGCCCCCTGGATGCCCAGGGTGCCCAGGCACAGGGGCTCTGATCCCAGCACAGCCGTTATCAATATTTCAGGGCAGCTGGGCGGCTTTGCTTTCAGGAAACCAATCGTTCTGCAACTTTTATAAGGTGAGCCGGGGTGTCCTTACCTGCCGGGAGATACAATCACCTGCAGACAATATCCGATGGCGTTACCTGCCTAAGTGACACATTAGGGAACATCCACCCGCACAATAGCCCGTGATACGCCCAACAATGGCCCATTGAGACAGGGACAAATCGCCAACAGCTGCTTTAGTTTAATTGACCTTTAAGGTGACTGATACCTTTTAAAGTCTTGGGGAACAACAGGGTGTTCCTGTGGTTAAGGGAATGATAAACCCGCGATGCTGAGGAAGCACAATGTG